TGAGATCAGTGGCTCAGTAATGTCATCAAGGTTCTTTCCATATCTGCTCTTCCTTCCTTCGTATGAGGACTGATTTTGTGCTAGACGCCCTCATAATCTCAGCATGGCTCCAGCAGTTCCAGTTGTCACATCTGTGGTTGTTTAAAAATATGTCCACAAGTTTTTTAATACCCCTTCCTTCAAAGGTGAACCTAATTTCCCTCCTATGTGTGGGCTGTACTTAGTGATTTGCATCTAATGAATGGATAATGGTAGGAATGACAGTGTGTAACTCCTGAAATTAGAACACAAAGACATTTTGGTTTCCTCCTTGCTCATTCTTTTGGATCACTCATTCCGGAGAAAGTCAGCTACGATGCCATGAAGACACTCCAGTAGCCCTATGGAGAGGTCCATGTGGCAAGTATCTGAGGCCTCTGCCAATAGCCTTGTGCATGAGCCACCTTGGAAGTAGATCCTCTAGCCCTGGCCAGGCCTTCAGATGCCTGCAGCTCTAGCCAATGTCTTGGCTGCAACTTCATGAGAGACCTTGATCCAGAACCACCCAGCTAAGTTGCTCCTGAATTCCTGTGAAACATGTTGTTTAGAGCTGCTAAATTTAAATTGTTATGCAGTAAAAGACAACTAATGCAATATCTATATGATAACATCTACAGGAAGAATATATCTCTCTCTCTCTGACTTCCCAGGAGACTTTTCATGTTTCATTGGGCTGGATTGGGATACCAACCATTGGTAAGGGAATAATATTGCCATTGTTGGCTTCTGCTGAACAAGATCCATCTCCTGCAGTACTGAATAGAGTCAGCCTCCACTGAGGCAGAAGGCTGTGCAGAGGATGGTGGCTTCCGTTAGGAAGAAATTAAGGGTGGAGGAATGGATATTGAGAGGTGACTCAGTGAAGATAGTCTTGATTGTGTTACAGTAACAAATATTCACAAATTCTTAGTGGCTTAACACAACAAAAGTTTATTTCTCTCTCACATTACGTGTCCATTGTGGGTTGGCAAGGAAGTTCTGCTTAATGTAGTCACTCAGGAACCTAGGCTGAAAGACGTTTCAACTCATGTTTTTATGGTCCTGGCAGTAGTGGGATAGGAAAGTGGCAAATTGTTTATTGAGTCCTAATGCTTTTTCTTGAAAAGGACACATATCACTTCCTCTTTTATCTCATTGACCAAAATGAGTTAAGCCTAAATTCAAATGGGACAGATAATAATACAATTTTACGATGTAATCAGAAACTGGAGAGCCAGAAATATTTGGTGAACAGCACTGATGAGTACCAGCAGAAAAGCAGTGTCTGCAAAATCTTCTTGCTGAGCAACAAGAAATTGGGTGGTAATATGAAAACAGACTTTCCACACTCCATTACCCTACAATTCCCCAAACTTTTAAAGGTATCTTTCTCTCTCTTCTTGTCTTTGTCTTTCAAATGGAAGCAGTTAAATACATTGGATGTTAGGGTACCTGGCACAGGGAGACGTCCTAACTTAAATTTCTGATGCTAGATCTTAGCCTGTCCCTGAGTGGTGCAAACAGTTAACGTGCTAAGCTGCTAACTGTAAGGTTGAAGTTTCAAGCCCAGCCTAACATGTGTAAGCAGGTGTTAGGAGACTACACCCTCTCCTCACTTATTGACATGATTAGGTGCCAAAGATCAGGTCATTATGCTAAATCAGCATTATGCAAAAATGGAGAATGACCACATCAGATCACAAAATGGAGGATGATTACAACATTACACAACTGCCAAACTACATCATTGCATAACAGCCAAACCATTGAGGATCATGGCCCAGCTAAGCTGACACATGACCTTAACCATCAAAACCAGTGTTACTCTCGCCTCGCACATTGGCATTAACTACTGCCAGATGTATATCGTTAATGCACAAAATAGTCAGATAGTAGATTTTTTACTATTGTCCTAAATGCGAAGTGTCAGATAAGGAGAAAGTCAATAAATGAAGAGAAGGTGTATTTGAAAATTTCAGTGAAAAGAATATCAGCATCATATATTTAATTGCATCTATGATAGCAGGTCCAATAATGTATAATTTTGCTAATAATCCTAAACTTATAAATAATACATTGAAATTTTAGAGCACTTGAGTGTTGAAATCTGCATGTAAATAGCTTGCCTTTTCTCAGGCTTCCTCTTGTTTGTGGAATGGTTATTATCCTAATAGAATGCTTGGATGCTTCCTGGTCAAGGAAACATCAATTCTCCTGCTAGGTTAAGATGAACCTGAAAAGCTCCAGACTCGTATCTGCACTTCAGGCTCCCTGCTTTGCCATATCCTTTGAGTTCTTTAATTTCTGCCTGATAGTTAACCTGTTGATAAATCTGGAATGAAAATTCAGTTTTTCTAACTCCCAGCTCTGGTATTATTCTAGCTAACTCCACCATATTTTTCAGCTCTTTCCGGGAAGCTCTCTGACTACCGAACTGCTCCATTCAACCGTACTGTTTTCCATTCTCTCTTCTTTTCTCCCATAGCACATCTTCTTGTGCCTGTCCTTATAAAGCACATAGCATACCACTTTGCAATAACTGATGATTTCCTATGTATTTTCCTTCTGAGTCTGTAAGCTCTTTGAAAGTAAGTTCCATGTCTTCTGGGATTTTTAAAATTCACAGGTCTAGTGTAGTGAATACTGTCATGGTGTCTTATGATAGTTGGGAAGTGTTCAGTGAATGCCGACTGAATATTGAATACTACAAGCACCAAACTTTAGGGAGGGGTTTTAATATGTCACTGCCTTTTAGAAAGTTCCCGTAATCTAAGAGTTTTTAAAAATTCACTACAAAGATTCATCGCTTTGACTTCCTAAAGCATGGTAAGCTAGCAATATCTATTGAAATATAAATTACTGTGGAAGAACATACTCAAGCTAATTTAATGCAACAGTTCATCAAATTAACTCCTTCTAAGTGACATTGGCATTGGGTCTTAACTTTGCTCCTCTTAAGGGATGACACTTCAGACTTGTGGCAACCCCATACATGCAGATTAGACTTGCCCCATAGGGTTTTCAAGGCTGTGACCCTTCAAAAGCAGATAGCCAGGCCTGTCTTCCAAGGCACGACTGAGTGGGTTCTAACAGCCAACCTTTCAGCTAGTAGTCAAAAGCTTAAAAGTTTGCACCAACCAGGGATTCCTAGTACTGTTACCCCAGAGTTACTCCAGAATCTCCAGGTATGGAATGAAAGGTATAGTTTGAAGAAGCCTTTCTAGCAATTCCTGTATGTTTACCCTAAGGATAATGCAACTTCATCTCTCTTTTTCATCACTGCAAAAAGACAGGTGTTGAGGGGTAGGTCAATTTTATTTTGCTCTTGGAGATTTTCTGATAAATAGGATCCCTCAGGGGAAAGTCTTCTGGGTCCCCAGTCACAGGGAGCAAGACTTTAAACACCACGAAGCAGCAGAGTTAACTCTTTTTGGTTCCTGTAACTATTAACAAATTACATTATTTAAAAATATGGGCCTTTTTGGAATATCTTTTTTTATTAAGCCTCTTGGAAACCTTATGGGGCAGTTCTACTTTGTCCTACACAGGTTTGCTATGAGTGGTATCCACTCCAAGGCCAGTGAGTTTAGTTTTTTTTTAGTATCTGCTGTTCCTCGTATTGTGGGTTGGAATTAACTACCACGGCCCCAAGCCTATACTTATCTTCTTTAAGGAGGCCCCACCCTGGCTCAACCAAACTAGGGACCGCCTTCAATCCGCAGGGTGTAGTCCAGCTGTAGACCATTTGAAAACGCGGGGGAGTACAGTCACCACTCGGCACACTGTCTTCTTTCAGCTTACTTAGCAGGAGTTGCTGAACTGGCTGGGGTTGAGGCTTGCAGGGGTGGAGCTGAAATGCCTTCCGCATTCCTCCTCCTCCTCCAGGCTGCGGTTGCGGGTGCAGGGGGAGGGGAGAGTGGCAGGAAGCACAGAGCAAGCAGACAGGAGTGGAGGGAGCGCTATTGGCTCTCAGGCCCCCCACCCCCAGCACGTGCATACTAACACTGTTCATATCATTTGGTAGGATTATTTTATAAAATAGGCAAAGCAGAGCCAGCTTCACAAAGCTTTCTCAAAGGACGTCCTGGGTTTTTAATTATAGTTTTACAAAGAGCAAGTCCAGCCATGCTTACTAATCTCATCTGTAAAATGGGGATGAAAGAGAAATACAACAAATATTATCCAAAAAAGAAAGCTTGCGTAACAAAGCTGTGTTCATTTCCTGTGAATAATGGAGAGGAACTAAATACTGTGCTTTGTTGATTTGGATCCAGTCAAATACAAAGACAGATCCTATACAACAAATGTTTTCCTTTGTTCTGGGACTTGTAAAGAGTCATTCTCTACAAAGAACGAATCTCCTTTGTGCCATTCCTTGGCCTGCCTGGCTGTGGAGATTATGAAGAAAAACCTCTCGCGAGCAGTTTTCCTGATTAGGGACATTGTTCTGGAACGCAAGCTCGGTTGCCATGGCTACGGCTCTCCAGAGGCCTGCCCCTTTCCACCCCGCCTTCCTGTGCTGTCGGCTTATATGGGGCAGTCCTGATTTCAAATATTCCTCCCCCATAGCACGGAAATGGCAGGGAAATTCCAACTGTATTTCCCAGATGACCTCTGAATCCCAGAGGCAGCAAAACCAAAAAAAAGAAAAAAAGAAACAACTCTTGTCAGGCAGTCTTGAATTGTCGTTGAAAAACCAGACATTAGACTGAAAGCTCGTTGAAGGCAGGAACTGTGTTCCCGTCATTGAACCAGTTCTTCCTCTCTCACGCTGCCTTTCCCTCAGCCCAAAGTAGGCCGACACGTGGTAGGATCTCAAAAGGTTTATAACCGTTTGCCCTGGGAGGTGGCGGTATAGCGTGTTCTTAAAAGCATGGGCCTGGAGAGCTACTTGCGAAAACCTTACGGAGCACAGTTCTAGTCTGACACACGAGTCACCATGAGTTGGAATCAACTGTACAGCAACAGTCGTGCTTTTTTTTTTTTTTAAGCAAGATTTTGCAGTCAGAATCTTGTGACCTTGGGAAAGCACCTAATCTTTCCAGGCTTCGTTTTCCTCATCTCTCAAATGCAGACAGTAATACCTAACTCAGAGACTTCAGGTAAGTATTGAACAAAATAATGTAGATATATGAAACACTTGCTACTGTGTCTGGCTAATAGTGATCAGTTATTATTATTATTACTGTTATAAGCATTTCTGTAGCCTCCAGATGTTCTTGTGGGGGAAAAACACTCTCCCCTATGACAAAGAACAACAAAACTCTTCTAGCTGAGTCTATAGCAGCCTAGGTGTAATAATTAATAAATTGAAGTGCTGCATATCTGTGTAATAAATGTCAATAGACCATAAGAGTAATGTTACCTGTGTTAGGTTGTTGCACATAAATAATGCAAAGGGGGTTGTCCTTGCCACAAAAGCTGTAACATGAATACATGGTTACTGTATTCCAGTTGCACAGCCATGTATCTACAGTAAAAAGAATAAAATAGCATTTTGACATCTCTTAGCTTGACTTCCCTTCCCCCGCCAATCTCTTACGGTATTTCTGAAACCTCAGGCCAGCTTGTAAATGACTGTGTGTACCTATGGGATTTATAAGCCCCACGGGGGCCCTCCACAGTCCTCCCAACACCTGAGCTGGCTGCCGAGTCAGAGCCCCGGGGTCTGTGGCCACTTACATAGTGGCTCTAGAAGATTCTGTATCTTTGGACAATTAGGGGAAAGAAAGATTACCCTCCCCCTCATCCCCGCCTGCCCGCCCCAAAGTTTGCTCTGCTTTTCCCAGGCAGGTCCTAGGAAGCCTGTGGATTTTTTTTTTTTTTTTTAGGGGAAAGGGGATGTAAGTGGTCCTAAACAAGATGCAGGCAGGTTTTGAGCCCAACCTGGCCGCAGGATGTGCAAACCTACGACAGCTGTGTACCACAGTTCAAACTACTAGACATTGAATTGAAGGAACCACTTCTGGGTGGGCCTGATCAGATTCAGGAGGTTCTGCCTGCCTGGGGTAGGGGAGCCAAGGTCAGGAGTATCATTCCGCTGTTCCTAAAACTGCGTGTCTCTTGGTTGAGAAGGTATGTTTAGCTTGTATTTTAGGACACAGATGAAATGAGCACGTTGAGCATATTGAGTAAGCTTATTGTCATTTAATGCATAGGGCTGAAGGAAGCCTGAAAATTACTCGTACAAGTGCCATTGTATGTAGGGTGTTCCCAGAACACCTATGTACAGTGTTTATTTTGAAGCTGTGCAGTAATGCGACAAAGGTGTGGAAAGGTGGTGTGAACCGCAGGGTGTGAAGTGTTCCTACTCTTTCAGACCCTAGCACACATCCCCACCAGCCCCCACACACATTAAACTACAGAAGATACAAGATCTTCCCCTCCCCCAACACCGCAGCTCGCTTTCTCTGAAAACTGATACCCTGAGGCCCTTTTCCCTTACAAGACACAATTAGGGGCAGTAAAAGAGAAAATGCGGACTGGATTGTGGCATAGAGGCTGTGCTCTGTAATGCTTCTTTCTGTTAACAAGCCACTATTCCGGCTCCAGGCCTTATATTTTATCTGACTTTGCTACTCCAGGAAACAGCTTTAGGCTCCAGCGAGTCCAGGGCAAATCCATTTCTTTTTGCGAAATCCATTTTGTATTTTCTGTTTCACCCTGGTGAAGCCTCAGCAGAGGCTGTTGTTCTCAATCCAGCTGGAAAACCGGCTCAAACCGCCCTGAACTGGATTAGGTGGCTGTTGAGACAGAGTTTCTGTCTCTTTGTTAGGGCGGATCCTCGGGCCTCATTCGCTCTTCAGTTTCCCTCCCTCCTGTTTTCCCAGAGTTACCAACAGCAATTCCCCTCCCCCTGCCTCTCCAGTTTGACATTTTTTTACCCTTTCCTGGGCCAAGACTCCATGAATTAGATTAAATTCTTTAATAAAAAACTAGCTTCAGTTTGTAAACTTGCTTTTAGTGCATTATTTAGTTCTGCTTTCCTCAAATTTATTGTCTAACCAATTCACATGGTGCCCTTAAAATCTTGGCTTTTAGAAGTAACATTCATTTTCACCCTAGATGGGTGAAGCAGGTCAAAGGCTGAAGGGTTTTGGTGCAGTGCATTGTTAATTTCCGTTTTGTAGTTATATCTAAATTTAGATCATTTATTCATTTCTTTGCTGAGAGATGGCAATATATATAGAATGTTTAAACAGTCACACAGACTGGCTGTCTATTGGTAGTATGCAATTCCTAGAGTAAGAGCTAAAGAACTGAGATGTTTTTGGTTTTTCGAACATTTAATTTTAATCCTGGATCATATTCTGCGAATAGTGTAGTGAAAAGGTGGTTTGGGGAATGCGCCTGGACCGTTCCTAATATCATGCAAGTGGAGGCAAAGCTGGGGATATAACGGTATAAGGATAGAACAGAGTTGGGCTTTTGTAAGTTCTTTTTTCATAAAATTTAAGCGTTTCTTATGTTTTGGAACTAGGGGATGGTTGCTTAACACTGAATGCACTCACTGCTTTTGAGGTATACATTTTGAAATGGTTAATTTTATCTTAAAAACAAGCGTTTCTGGACAGGAATGTATTTTCTTTTTATGTTTTTTGAGAAATGGACTAGAGACACTTACGTAATAAACAGCTATAATCTGGGTGTGGCCCCATTTGGTGCTTGAAGACTCACTGGTCTCCCTCTGCTGGTCAAATTAAGCAACATGTCACTGTGTTGGAAGGCCTTTAGAGCATGTCTCAATTATATGTCGAAGCACAAATGCAACGTTGCTTTAGTAAGAATCATTCTCAATATCTTGTTTTATGTGCATTGTATTCGTTTTACTCCTGTGCATGGCACGGGACTTTTTTCCTGAGAGAGGATCACAGATGTTTTCCTTCTGCAGTATTACACGTGATTGGTTATACGTTAATGATTAAAATTCACCCCTCAATCTCAGAGCAAAAACAAAAACGTTGTCATTTCTCTTAGGTTAAAAGCCAGATTTAAATTGTTTATTTAAGTGTCTAGTTTCAGTAGAGCATAAAGCCTTGGGATACAGCCAATTACAACAGCAGATTTGGAAAAGATACTTTTATATGCCAGAGGGGAGGGGTTGGCTTTGTCTCGTGAGTCGGTACTCTGAGACGTGAGTTTGGGCTAAGAAAATCTTCGAAATATATGTAAAAACCAGGTGGGTCCAGAATTTGAATAAATGAGATTTCAAAAGTGTAAATAATTAGTATGGGAAGGCACACAGTATATGTTATACGGATTTTGGAAAATGCAGAGTATAAAAGGGGACCTAAGACGGTTGGAGTCAAGTCATCCAGACTTCGTTCTGATTGTTAGATCAACTCTTACTTTAGGACCTCACACCTTCTGTTTCACATGCTTGAAATGCTTTCCCTTTCCTGCCCCTCCCCAGCTCTTCCTACTCACTGGGCAAGCCTTGCCTTATGTCACCTCCTCCGAAAAGCCTCCTGGACACTTGGTCTAAGTTAGATTCCTTCCACCCTGTTACTGTCTCACATGACACTCCCCCTTTTTTTTTCAGTTATAGCTCCACTATAACTTATATATATTTGTTTTCTTGTACATTCTCTGTCTACTCCACTAGGTTTCTAAATTTCATAAGGGCAGGACTATATTTGTCTGATCAAAACTCCATAACCAGCTCTTGGCATAGTACCTGGCAAAAAGTTGGCAAGGAAGAAGTATTTTTGAACTGATGAGTTAAATTCAAATACCATTTCTCTGGCTCTGGTCTGCTACTTTCTGGATTCTTCTTTTATTCTTTGTGACTGTTTCAAGGCATAGCCTGTTTGCCTCTTCTCTTGTAAACTACCAGCAACTACTGATTTATTTCAGGGTTCTTCCCCCCAAAATGTGAGAGTTACTGACTGGAGTGGAATCTTTCCAGTTTCTTCCATCTTATTCTCTTAAAAAAAGATAAACAAAACAGCAGATTACAACAAAATACACTCATGTTTTTTCATCTGTGGTAATTGGTTTCACTCTGAAGATCGGGCGTACCCCATTTTGATTTCTGAAACGAGTTGTCCACATGGTATACCCCGCCCTCATTTTGATCAGGCTTTCTCTACAACCAGGGGGAAAACTAAACCCAAATCAGTTGTCATCGAGTTGACTCTGACTCATGGCGACAGAGTAGAACTGTGCTTTATAGGGTCTCAGGGCTGTGATCTTTTAAAAGTAGATTGCCAGGCCTTTCTTCCAAGGCATCTCTGGGTGGATTCAAACTGCCAACCTTTTGGTTAGTAGTCAAGTGCTTAACCATTTGTGCTATGCAGGGATTCTATAACAAGGGGATAAAAGAACAAAAAAACCCAAACTCATTGCTGTCAATTCCAACTCACAGTAACCACTGTGCCACCAGGGCTCCAAGAAGGTGGGGAGGGAACCATTGGCATTTAGTCAATTCTGAGTCATAGCAACCCGATAGGACAGAGTAGAACTGCCCCCATAGGGTTTCCAAGGAGCAGCTGGCGGATTCGAACTGCCAACCTTTTGATTAGCAGCCAAGCTCTTAACCACCGTGCCACCAGGGCTCCAACAAGTGGGAAAGGGCCTACCAATTCCTTCTTTAAAAGCGCCTCCTCCTTCTGGCAGGACATGGACACATCCTTGCAGGGATTTAAATTCCCTGGAATTTCAAGTAGGTAATTTGCATCTCTGAGAACCTTCAGACTAGATGTCACTGATTTTGCTGGACTTCAACCTAAGAATAATCCCTTTGGGGCAGTTCTTTACCTAGGCAAATTAGCTGTTATTACACTGTTTCAAAAGCTGGTGCCAGTAGTTGGAGGACTTTCAAGACATGCTGCTTTATTCTGTATTCATCGGATGGTTTCGATTGACTGGTGGTTGGTTATGTAAACTGGTAGAATTTCCCAAACTGCCTACAAAATGCTTTTAACTGGTATAAGGTAGTAGTTAAGAGACTAAACATGTTAAGTTAGAAAAGCTCAAAGTTCTGAAGCCTCAATTTTCTCATCGATTTTGTTTCTCATCTATAAAAAGGGGATGTCCATTTCACAGAGTTGTTATATATATGAATTAATAGACACTAATTAACATATACGTATATATACAC